CGGGCGCGTGTGTGTGCATGCCCAAGATCCTGAGAGGAGAATGGAGGAGAAGGGATTGCGGCGTGACCATTCCCCCTGGGGGGTGATTTCTCGCTTTCTGTCTCTAATGTCTCTCTCTGTCTGTCTGGCGAGCGCACGTGCCCTATAGTGAAAATCTCTCCAAAAAAAAAGTATAAGGACATCCCATGTTCCTGGATTGACAGAATTAATATAATCAAAATGGCAATCCTACTCAATATATTTAATGCAATCCCTATAAAATTACAAGAGACATTCTTCACAGATCTAGAGAAGACAATCATAGAATTTGTCTGGAATCATAAAAGACCCTATATTGCCAACACCATCCTGTGTAAGAAGATTGGAGTGGGTGGCATCTCACTTCCTGATCCCAAATTATATCACAAAGCTGTGATAATCAAAACAGTGTAGTATTGCCACAAAAACAGACATGAGGACCATTGGAACAGAATAGAGACCCCAGAAATAAACCCCCAAAACATACAGCCAACTGATCTTTGATAAAGGGTTCCAGTCAATCCAGTGGGAAAAGGAAAACCTCTCTAGCAAGTAGTGCTGGAAAAACTGGGTATCCACCTGCAGAAAGATGAAATCTGAAACCCTATCTGTCACCATTAACAAAAATCAACTCGAAGTGGATCACAGATCTAAACCTAAGACTGCAAACTATAAGGCTAGTGGGAAACACTGGGGAAACTCTGGGAGACATTGGGGTAGGCAAAGACTTCTTAAGCAAGACCCTCAAAGCACAGGCAATAATCCCCAAAATAGACTGATGGGATTACATCAGATTAAGAAGTTTCTGCACAGCAAAGGACACTGTAATTAGTGTGAATCGAAAATCCTCAGAATGGGAGAGAATTTTTGTTAACTGTGCCTCAGATAAAGGACTGATAACCAGAATACACAGGGATCTCAAGCAGTTTACCCGAAAGAAAATGATTAACCCAATTAAAAGATGGGAAAATGAGCTGAATAAACAACTCTCTAAGGAAGACATACAAACAGCCAAATATCATATAAAAAATGCTCAACATCCCTCATCATAAGAGAGATGCAGATCAAAACCACAATGAAATACCACCTAAAGCCAGTCAGAATGGCAAAGATTAAAAACAAAACAAAACAAAAACAAATGATAAGTGATGAAGGGGATGTGGTGAAAGGGAAACACTCCCACATTGTTGGTGGGAATGTAAACTGGTCCAGCCACGGTGGAGAACAATATGGAGGTTCCTCAAGGACCTTCAAATAGAACTACCATATGATGAAGAAATTATACTCCTGATTATCTACCCATAGGACAGGAGAATGTTCAGAATGTTGCACAATTATATTTATTGCACCATTATTCATGATTATTAAGACATGGAATCAGCCCAAATGTCTACAAACAGATGAATGGATTGAAAAACTGTGGCACATACACTCCATGGAATACTATTCAACCATAAAAAACAAGGCCCTGGACTTTGATAGAAAGTGGCTGGATATGGAAGATTTTTTTGCTGAGTGAAGCAAGTCAGGCTATGAAAGAGAGATATTATATGTCTCTACTTAACATATACCGACTATCTGCACTGTATGATAGAGACTGAAAGACTGAAGGATATAAAATCATTAAAACTTATACAGGACACTAGAAATAAAGTGGAAGGAAAGTGTGGGAGGGGAAGAGTGTAGGAAAGGAAATTTGGGGAAAAAATAGAGAGGTAAGACATTTGTGGGACACAGATTATCATTTACTACCTGTTGATAAGGATGTGTATAGTATTCTCAACTGGGCTAGACTGAGGTGTATATCATGCTGGGTAAAGTCTCTTTACAATCTAAATGACGTATAGTGACTGAATGTATAAATAATAATAGTACAAGTTAAAAAAAAAGAGATGTCCTGAAAAAGAAAAGAAAAGAAAAGCATGCTGGTGTGTGCGTGCATGCCCCAAATCCTCAGGAGACTATAGAAAGGATTGCAACATGGGCACACCCCCTGTGGGGTGCTTCCTCACTTTGCCTGTCTCTCTCTGTCTCTTTTTGGCAAGCAAGCACACATGCCCTATGACAAACAAAGAAACAAAAAACAAAAACAAAGAACTAAGATGTCAACATGTACCTAATTTGCATGTTTCTATGTAACTAGTGTTTCTATTAGAGTCACTCACTGGTTCTGTGTTATGGTCAAATTTCAGTAAAAAAAAATCTTAAAAGAATTTGGTAATAATGGTCACATAAACTTCTATCTACTAAGACAGTAGGGGAAAAGTATGTAGTATAATACTTAAGACTTAATATATTTAACAATATACGAGAGGCTAGAGTGGTGGTTAACTTGGAAAATTCTAATGTCACAATATTTATTATTCTAAATGTACATATTCCCTACCTACAGGCATGGTGGATTCTGTTAAAGAAAATTTAACATGGAATACTCATATATATAAACCACACACACTCTAGGGGCCTGCTCTGCGTACTGTGGTCTACTCAGCAGCATCTCTGGCCTCTCTCCATTAAAAGCCAGTTGCACCTCCTAAACTCTAATTATGACAACCAAAAATGTCTACAGAAATAGCCAGATGTCGTCTGGAAGGCAATGCCACCACTAATAATTAACAACTAGGATATAGTAGAAAAGGTATTTTTTAGCTTGCTATAGGACATGTGTGATTGCAAAAGACAGAGGGAGATAAAAAGGGAAAGTGAGAAATCACTCCCCAGAGGGGATGGCCACTTTGTAATCCCTTCTTCATTCTCCTCTTGGGATATTGGGCACACACATGTTCTGCCAGGTCTGGGACTTGAACTGCTCAGTTGGCCATGAGGGATCCAGCCAATTTAATCTCTATGCTACAAGCTGGCTCAATACAGTAAAAACATTTTAAAAATATTTTGAGACTGGGACCAGTAATTGATGTAATGGCTATGTTGCTGGACTCCCATGTAGTTGACTGCGGCTCAAGTCCTGAACCCAGTGGCTTAAATTCGCACCAGGTACGTGTGCGTGAGTACCCAGGATCCCAAGAGGAGAACGGAGGAGAAAGGACTACAGTGTGGCCATCCCCACTGGGGGGTGATTTCTCGTTTTCTGTCTCTCTGTCTTTCTGGTGAGCACACGTGCCCTACAGCAAAAAACTCTCAAAAAATATTGAGATTATATTGAACAATTTCAACCTGGAAAAATTACATCCATATTACATAAATCAGTAATTTTCCCTTCACTCCAATGTCTCTGGTATGTAAAATGTTGAAAGTTATTATGTAAGTTTTGACACATTAAAATATTTATAAAGATTTACTTTATTTTTAGTGTTCAATGAGACCTTCTTGCTTGATAATGTGCTCCCCATTTGCTGTGTTGCTTTTCTCCATGATTTCTTTGATTTTTCTATAAACTGACTTGGGGAAAAATAAAGACAAACAGATTTCTCTCCTGTATGAACTTTTTGCCCTACAAGGATTGGTAACTTCTGTCAGAGGGGTTCATTGAGTGAATTAGCTACAGGGGGCAGTTTATGTTGTAATGCAAACTGATCACACATACCATGACTCACCAGGGTAATTATTTATTTATCACTCACATAAATAACAACAGTGGGTTTGGGGACAGAGGAGGGAACTTCAGGACTCTCTCCAATCAATTTCTTTTGTATAAATAATGATGGCCTTCTCCCGCCTAGGGCTCTCAGGGATACCCTGGGGGTCATTTGCACTTCAGCCTCAGAGGGCATGAGAAATCCAGGAGGACTGTATGACCGTACCTTTGTTGCCACGCTTGGAAAGTACTGCTCATCACTGTCTCCACTCCTTTTTATGGAGCTTAATTACATGGTCCTTCCCACCATAATGGGAGGCTGAGAAATGTAGGCTGTGTGGGAACCAGCAGTTAGCGTAATGGCTATGTTGCTGGACTCCCACATAGTCGACCGTGATTCGCGTCCTGGACCCGGCGGCTTAAAACTCACGCCGGGCGCGTGTGCGTGCATGCCTAAGATCCTGAGAGGAGAATGGAGAAGGGATTGCGGCGTGACCATCCCCTCTGGGAGGTGATTTCTCGCTTTCTGTCTCTATGTCTCTGTCTGGCGAGCACACGGGCCCTATAGCGGAAACCTCTCAAAAAAAAAATGTAGGCTGTGTGTCTAAGAGAAAAGAGGGTAGTTTGGAAGAACACACAGCTAGTCCATGAATATAAGATTTCTGTGTCAATTTCCTGATTGCCTGCTGATGTGTGACTTCTGACAAAAGACGTTTTAACATTTATTATAGATGACACTCTGAATTCATGGGTTCTGCAATTGCATATCTGAAACCAACTACAAATCAAAACCATTAAAAATACCTATACAATAAAATCATCAATAAAATAATACAGTGTAACAACTATTTACACACCACTTACATTATGGGTTATAGGTAATCTAGAGATGATTTAAAGTATATGAAAGGATATAAGTTGTTGCAATACTATGCCATTTTATACAAGGGATTTGAACATCCATGGATTTTGGTATCCATGAGAAGTCCGAGAACAAATGCCCTGTGGATATTGAGAACCAACTGTACATTCATAGGGTTGTTTCCCATTGTGAGTTTTTTGATGTACAGTGAGTTTTGACTTCTGGTGGAAAGATTTCCTACATTCTTTGCAGTCATATGTTTTCTCACCTGTGTGAGTTCTCTGATGGACAGTGAGGGTTGACTTATGGTAGAACGCTTTCCCACATTCTTTACAGTCATATGGCTTCACACCTGTGTGAGTCCTTTGATGTGCAGTGAGGGCTGACTTATGGTAGAAAGTTTTCCTACATTCTTTACATTCGTATGGTTTCACACCTGTGTGGATTCTCTGATGCATCCTGAGGTTTGAATTCTGGTGAAAGGTTTTTCCACAATCATTACATTCATAGGGTTTTTCCCCTGTGTGAGTTCTCTGGTGTATAATGAGGACTGACCTAAGGCAGAATGTTTTCCCACATTCATTACATTCATAGGGTTTCTCTCCTGTGTGAGTTCTGTGATGCACATTGAGGGCTGACTTCTGGCTGAAGCTTTTTCCACATTCTTTACATTCATAGGGTTTTTCACCTGTATGAATACCCTGATGCAACTTGAGGTACGATTTCTGACGAAAGGTTTTTCTGCACTCTTCACATTCATAGGGTTTTTCTGCTGTGTGAGTTTTCTGATGGACAGTGAGTTTTGACTTCTGGTGAAAAGATTTCCTACATTCTTTACATTCATATGGTTTTTCACCTGTGTGAGTTCTCAGATGTATAGTGAGGGCTGAATTATGGTAAAAAGACTTTCTACATTCTTTACATTCATATGGTTTCTCACCTGTATGAGTACTCTGATGTCTACTAAGATTTGACTTTCGGCAAAAAGTTTTTCCACATTCATTGCATTCATAGGGTTTTTCCCCTGTGTGAATTCTCTGGTGTACCACAAGTTTTGACTTCTGGTGAAAAGATTTCCTACATTCTTTACATTCATATGGTTTCTCACCTGTATGAGTTCTCTGATGTACAGTTAGGGCTGAATTATGGTAGAAAGCTTTGCCACATTCCTTACATTCATATGGTTTCTGACCTGTGTGAGTTCTTTGATGCCTGCTGAGGTTTGACTTGCGACAAAAGGTTTTCCCACATTCGTTACATTCATAGGGTTTCTCCCCTGTGTGAGTGCTCTGATGCCTCCTGAGGTTTGACTTCTGGTGAAATGTTTTTCCACATTCATTACATTCATAGGGTTTTTCCCCTTTGTGAGTTCTCTGGTGTATAGTGAGGACTGATTTCAGGCAAAACCTTTTTCCACATTCACTACATTCATAGGGTTTCTCTCCTGTGTGAATTCTATGATGTCTAATAAGGACGGACTTTTGGCAGAAGGTTTTTCCACATACATTACACCCATAGGGCTTTTCCCCAGTGTGAATTCTCTGATGAATAGCAAGGCCTGACTTCTGACAGAAGGATTTCTCACATTTGGTACATGTATAGGGCTTTTCTCCTTTATGTGTTCTCTGATGTTTTGTGAGGTATGACTTTTTATTGAAGGATTTCTCACATTCACTACATTTATACTGTTTTTCTCCTGTGTGTATTTTCTGTTTAGTAAGTGTGGACTTTTTATACAATGTTTTCTCACATACATTCTGCTTAAAAGGTTTCTTCCCTGTGTGAGTCTTCTCTTGGGCAATGATAGCTGACTGACCACAGGCTTTCCCATATTCATTACAGTTAGAGGAGGTCTCTCTCGTAGGAACCTTATGTGTCAATATGAACTCTGTGTGGTTGACTTTCCCTTGTCTGCCATATTCAAAAGGCTGCTGATCAGTTTGAATCTTGTTACACTGACGAAGAAGCTCTTGGTGTCTGAGAGATTTCAGAGTTATTCTACAGGTATCAAGTTTCTTTCCAACATGCATCTCATCAGGTTCACTAGGGAGAAGAGTATTCTGGCATGCAATGTCAGGTCTCATTCCTGAATAGTTTCTGTGATTTGCAATCAGATTTGAAATATGCTCTGAGGCCAAAGTCAATGTTTTCTTTGTTTCAACTCTCTCTTGACTTGATGGGTTGCTGTTGGTAATTAACACTTGCCACAAATATCTGTCTTGATTTTCCTGACACCTCTCAAGGTCTTTGACTATCTGGACATCTAAAATAAGAAAAAAAAAATAACCACATGCACAAAACAACCAAAGCATGAAATAGTTTCTTCCTATCCTAGTGACTTATTTTATAAAAGCTTTATAAGTGCATGGATTTTTCTTCCTTCTGATTTAGGAGGGTTTTTTTTTGTTTTGTTTTGTTTTTTCCACTATAGGGCGCATGCGCTCGCCAGACAGACAGAGACATAGAGACAGAAAGCGAGAAATCAACCCCCAGGGGGGATGGCCATGCCGCAATCCCTTCTCCTCCATTCTCCTCTCGGGATCTTGGGCACGCACACACACGCGCCCGGCGTGAGCTTTAAGCCACCGGGTCCGGGACGCAAACCGCGGTCGACTACATGGGAGTCCAGCAACATAGCTATTACACTAACTGCTGGTTCCCTCTTCCTCCTGATTTAATAAATTATATTAACAGATTTTTAAATGTTAAATCATTTTTTTTGCCCTTTTCTCCTTTTATAACTCATAAAGAAATATTTAGTAAAATATTTACCTACTGCTATTCATAGTTTTCAACCAAGTGTTTATCATCTGTGATTTGTTTACCTTATTCTTTAAAAATTTTATTTATTATTTATTTATTTATTTATTTATTTATTTTTTGCTATTTTATTCTTTCTTACAACAATGGTGCATGTCTCATACTGGGATTTTTCTCATTATTCTGCTTTGAAGGTTTTCCTGGATCAGGTCCTTTTAGGTACACAAAAGGCAGTTTATCTATCAACTAAGCAGAAATATGACCTTGGGACAGGGTTTTATATCTATTTCTTTAGTTTTTCTTTGGGAAGTAGCTATAAGCATCTGAAAATTTTTTAAAATACATAATCTCTTCTTCCTCATGCTAGACAAAAATAAGTTCTTGAAGGTTTCCAATTTAACCCAATGTGCTCTGCCTCTGAGAATCATACACGGCATAGGAAGCTCTAGTTCACCAACACGGGCACTCCCTCTCTGCTGGTCTAAAGGATTTGGTTTGGCAATCCAGGCTGTGTCCACCATCTATGTAATGTGTATTTCTGGCTTCTTTGAGCACATGCACCCCTAATTAATAGTCACTGCTTATAAGGACTTTTATTTTATGCATTAGCATTTCAGCTGTCTGCTAGTTTCATAAAAAATGGAGTCTCCTGTACATTTGTCACTCTCTTGTTTCAGAATGATTTCCAAAAAGAGAAGGGTAAAATGCTAACTTCAAACTCTACTCCCAAATAGAAATCTGAGTCCTTCAACATAAAATCCTAGTTTCACTTGACCTTGGGAGGCAAAATTTCCTGGCTTTCTCCTGAGCCTAGGATCCCTTTGTTCACTGGTAGGCTGTGTCCTTCTCAATCTCCTGACACCTGATATTGTAGTATACAATGTTTGCTCCTGAACTTCTCATTTGCTTGCTAAATCCCTAGGTGACCTTCTCTATAAGTGTGACTTAAGAATAGTCATGCGCTGCATATTGACTATGATAGACTGCATATGTGATAGCAGTCTCATAAGAATATAAAAGAGATGAAAAATTCCTGTCACCTAGTGATGGCATAATGTCACAGCGCAACACATTACTTGTTTGTAGTGATGCTGGTTGGCATAAACCAACATACTATGCTGTCAGTGACATAAACCAACCTCCCCTGCTGTCAGGGAACCAGCAGTTAGTGTAATGGCTATGTCACTGGACTCACACGTAGTCGACCGCGGTTCGTGTCCCGAACCCGGTGGCTTAAAACTCATGCTGGGCGCATGTGCGTGCATGCTCAAGGTCCCGAGAGGAGAACGGAGGAGAAGGGATTGCAGCGTGGCCATCCCCCCGGGGGGTGATTTCTTGCTTTCTGTCTCTCTGTCTCTCTCTGTCTGTCTGGCGAGTGCATGTGCCCTATAGCAATACCTCTCCAAACAAACAAACAAACAAACAAAACAAAACAAAAAACGACAACAAAAAACAGTTCTTCAGGAGGTATTCCAGAAAAAGGCACTATTATTATAGGAGATGACAGCTCCATGGATGTTATTTATTGTCCCTGAAGACCGGGTGGGACAAGATGTGGAGGTGGATGACCATGTTTAAGCTTAGGCAAATGGATGTGTTTGTGTCTTAGTTTTAACAGAAAATTTTAAGATACAAAAAATAAAAAACCAAAAATTTTAAAATAGGAAAATGTTTACAGGGTAAGGAGATAAAGGAAAAAATTACTTTTATACAGCTGTACAATGTGTTTGTATTTTAAGGTAAGTGTTATTATAAAACTCTCCAAAAGTCTGTAAAATTTGAAGTATATAAGGTACAGGAGTTTTAATAAAGTTAATTTATTATTGAAGAAAGAGAAACATTTAAATAAATTTAATGAAGCCTAAATGCACAGTATTTATAGCCTTCATTATGCACTGATTCACCAATTGACCTAGAGCAACTGCCTGTCCTGCGAGCCCCATCTATGATAAATGCCCTATAAACGAGTACCACTTTAAAATTTTGGGGGGTTATATTTTTGCTACCTTTTCATACTGTTACATGTGTTTAGTTATACAAATACCATTGTGTTACCATTGCCTACAGTCCTCAGTACAGTAATATTCTATACAGGTTTGTTGCCTGGGAGCAATAGGCTCTACCATATAGCCTAGGTGAACAGTAGGTTGTACTGTCTGGGTCTGTGGAAGTATATGTCTATGATGTTTATCCAAGGACAAAATCCCCTAATGACACATTTCTCAGAATGTATCCCTGTCATTAAGTGATACACAACTACATGACTACCAGATTAAAGCTTCTGATTTCTAGGTTTGGATCTCTAATAGTGACATTCACTCTCAAATCTAGATTTTCTTTCTTTCTTTAAGAGAGATTTTTGCTATAGGGTGTGTGTGCTCGCCAGAGAGACAGAGAAACATAAAGTGAGACATCATCCTCCAAGGGGGATGGCCATGCCACAATCCCCTCTCCTCCACTCTCTTCTTGGGATTTTGGGCACGCATGCACATGCACCTGGAATAAGTTTTAAGCTACTGGGTCTAGGACTTGAATCATGGTCAACTATGTGGCAGTCCAGCAATGTAACCATTAGGCAATCTGCTGGCCCCTCAAATTTAGATTTTCATTTCTGTATGTACTGCATGTCAAAATTGGGAAAGATTTAATTGACAATGAAGCTATACCAAAGTAAAGACTTAATAATCTCCCAATAACTACTTCTTTGACCTTCCTTCCTAAATTACATCCTGTTTTTTTCTCTCTCACACTGTTTAAATATTCTAGGAGTTATTTTTTTCTTAAAGTTTCTTTCTCTCTTTCATGAGACAAACAGAGACAGAGAGATCTTTTGTGACACAAACAGAGAGAGACGAGAGGGAGAGAAACAAGGACCGTCAACAGTGTCTCATGCCACAGTCCCATCACTCCAGTCTTTCCCAGTCAGTCAGGGTCATGGGTGAGAGTATGTGTACCCAGCATATACAGGTCAACCTGGGAACCAAACTCCAATCTGTCACATGGCTTCCAGTATTACAGAGCATTGCACTATCACTGAACCACCCAGATGGGACTCTTCTGGTTCTTATATGATTACTTAAAATACATATTTTATTGTTTTTCTCTCATCATAATGTAAACTCTATAAAAGAGGAACATCATTTTGATGACTGTTTTTTATAAGTACAACTATCAGATCATTAGTGCTTAAAACCTGCTTGCTTGGGACTAGCAGATAGTATAGCAGTTACGTCGCTGGACTCTCACATGTCCAATTGTGGTTTGGGTCCCAGACCTGGTGGCTTCAAAATCTTGCCAGATGTGTGTGTGTGCATCCCCAAAATCCCAGGAGGAGAATGGAGGAGGAGAACTGTGGTGTAGCCAACCTCCCTGGGAGGGGGGGAATCTCTCACTTTCCCTCTCACTGTGTTTATCTTCTCTCTCTCTCATGCACTTATGTGAGCACATGTGCTTAAGTAAAAAACCTCTAAAAAAAATCCCAAAAACCAAACAAAAAAACTTCCGTGTCTGCTTAAGATACACAACTACATGACTACCAGATTAAAGCTTCTGATTTCTAGGTTTGGATCTCTAATAGTGACATTCACTCTCAAATCTAGATTTTCTTTCTTTCTTTAAGAGAGATTTTTGCTATAGGGTGTGTGTGCTCGCCAGAGAGACAGAGAAACATAAAGTGAGACATCATCCTCCAAGGGGGATGGCCATGCCACAATCCCCTCTCCTCCACTCTCTTCTTGGGATTTTGGGCACGCATGCACATGCACCTGGAATAAGTTTTAAGCTACTGGGTCTAGGACTTGAATCATGGTCAACTATGTGGCAGTCCAGCAATGTAACCATTAGGCAATCTGCTGGCCCCTCAAATTTAGATTTTCATTTCTGTATGTACTGCATGTCAAAATTGGGAAAGATTTAATTGACAATGAAGCTATACCAAAGTAAAGACTTAATAATCTCCCAATAACTACTTCTTTGACCTTCCTTCCTAAATTACATCCTGTTTTTTTCTCTCTCACACTGTTTAAATATTCTAGGAGTTATTTTTTTCTTAAAGTTTCTTTCTCTCTTTCATGAGACAAACAGAGACAGAGAGATCTTTTGTGACACAAACAGAGAGAGACGAGAGGGAGAGAAACAAGGACCGTCAACAGTGTCTCATGCCACAGTCCCATCACTCCAGTCTTTCCCAGTCAGTCAGGGTCATGGGTGAGAGTATGTGTACCCAGCATATACAGGTCAACCTGGGAACCAAACTCCAATCTGTCACATGGCTTCCAGTATTACAGAGCATTGCACTATCACTGAACCACCCAGATGGGACTCTTCTGGTTCTTATATGATTACTTAAAATACATATTTTATTGTTTTTCTCTCATCATAATGTAAACTCTATAAAAGAGGAACATCATTTTGATGACTGTTTTTTATAAGTACAACTATCAGATCATTAGTGCTTAAAACCTGCTTGCTTGGGACTAGCAGATAGTATAGCAGTTACGTCGCTGGACTCTCACATGTCCAATTGTGGTTTGGGTCCCAGACCTGGTGGCTTCAAAATCTTGCCAGATGTGTGTGTGTGCATCCCCAAAATCCCAGGAGGAGAATGGAGGAGGAGAACTGTGGTGTAGCCAACCTCCCTGGGAGGGGGGGAATCTCTCACTTTCCCTCTCACTGTGTTTATCTTCTCTCTCTCTCATGCACTTATGTGAGCACATGTGCTTAAGTAAAAAACCTCTAAAAAAAATCCCAAAAACCAAACAAAAAAACTTCCGTGTCTGCTTAAGATATGCTAAATAACAAATGTATGGGGACCAGCAGTTGGCGTAACGGCTATGTCACTGTACTCCCACGTAGCCGACTGTGGTTTGAGTCCCGGACCTGGTGGCTTAAACTCATGCAGGGCGTGTGTGCATGCATGCCAACAATCCCAACAGGAGAATGGAGGAGAAGGGATTGTGGTATGGCCATCCCCCCTAGGGGGTGATTTCTCGCTTTCTGTCTCTCTGTCTCTCTTTGTCTTTCTGGTGAGCGCACATGCCCTATAGAAAAAACCTCTCCCCCACAAAAAAATGTTTTTAAATGTATGAAAGAATAAATAAATGTATGAAAGAAAACAGTCCAGGAGAATGGAGGAAAAGAGGCAAATGAAAATACTGAGAAAGAGAGCAGTAAAAACGTAGTGCCTAAAGTAGGAATTAGAGTTTGAAGAAATAGAAGAAAATATTCAGCAAAATAAAAGACAGGATATATGCGTGATAGCCCTCCTAAAAGACTATATCATGTATTTGGTTAGTGCTCTCGGACTAGCTATCCCCAAGTCTGGGACCTGCAGAAAACATTAGTGAGAACCCCTCAACACTGTCAACATCTCCCAGGTTTTACTCTTCCTGGGCTCCCTGCCCAATATATGCTGACGGACCTGGGAGGCTCTGGTTTGGGAGTTCTTCAAGTGTCCATGGCTCTGCTCCTTGCTCCAACTTGAAGATCACCTCAGGCTTGGTAATGCAGTGACCTGTTAATGAGAAAAAACATAGGACTTTGCCAAACTGTTAAGTCAAGCCCTTTGAAGTATGTCAACAGCTCAGTTTCAGGAGCTGTGCGATGAAGGAGCTAATATGAACCTTTTGTATAGAGGGGTGACAGATCCTTCAAGGACAGGAACCTTACACCTAACTAGCATTGAACCATATAAATGGTTCCTATATTTGCCAACAAGGAAGAAAGTGTTGGTCTTGGGAGTCACTGAGTAGTTTTGCTCACCCAATGATACCAGGCTGCTGTAGGTCTCCAGCATCACTTCCCTATACAGGGTCCTCTGAGCATTGTCCAAGTCCAGCCACTCCTCCCAGCTGAAGTCCACAGCCACGTCCTCAAAGGACACCAACCCCTGTAATGGCACATTTCTGTTCAACTCAAGTCATCAGCTTTGGGTCACAAGAATACATGAATGGTCCTGGGCCATCATAAGAAATAAATGCAATATTAAGAGAACTGATTGTGGAATGATTTTGCATTTAAGTAGCTGACCTAAAACCATAACAAAAAAGTTTATGTACTTACAGATGCTTAATTACATATTAAGAGCATGTACACAAGACACATTCCATAATTTCTTTCCTATGTGTTGAAGGATTGCTTGTATCCATCCTAGGATGAACACAGTCACTCGAACCACAGGATGTGAATAATGAGATCCTGGTGAGTAGGTACGTTACATGACCAAATTTGCATTTTAATAGTCAACCCCTAGAAAGAGGACAGGGAAGGGCTTATGGGAGGGTCAGAGGTCAAAACACTAGATGACCACTTAGATCAGGGCACAGAGAAGCAAAAATACAGAATAGAGAGGTGAAAAAAGAAATGAAAAAGGACAGAATTTGGTACTAATTTACTGAGCAGAGGGTAAAAATAGAAATTTTACTTTCAGGCTACCTGGAGGATCACAACTATACAGATACTGGCACTTTAAAGTGAAAACTAGAAAAGGAAGGAACTGTGTGGCGGGAAATGTGGCACAGACTTGGACATGTCCTACTTGATCTATCTGAGGCCCCATTTATGAGGTTGTCCCACTGGCAACTGGACATAGTATTCTGGTATTCAGGAGAGAGGTCTAACTGAAGATGAAAATGTGGAACGTATCAACATTTCATACCTGAGCCCATCACAGTAAACAAACTAAGAGTGAAAGGAAAAAAGGAACAAGTACAGAATCTATAGAAACACGAATATTTACATAGAAGATAAGTAGACTGTAAAGATAAAGAAGAAATGTTGAGTTTATCCCATGAATAAAAGAAAGCAGAATATTAATAAATCTACTAATGTAATTCATCATACTTGTAGTACTATAGAGAAGAGTCTTTTGAAAATCAACATGGACATTGAGAACGGACTTTTAGAAACACATTCTGGGTTTCTAATTCTGCACCAAAAGATCTTGGAGGTCATCACTCCATCCTAACTACAACTATAAAGCCTACAAAGAGACCAAAAAACCCAACTCTTCTTGCATCTGTAAAACTATAAGACAGCATTTCAATGTTGGTGCCAACAAGCCCTCATGTTGCATGAAATTTAGCAGTTTTTTCCTTAGGTTCCATTTGAATCACGTAACTAATGTGACTGAATTTTTGCCATGCCATCAGAAATACCAGAGACAAATTTATACTAAATTTCGATGACTCAAAGATCGCACAAACTGCTGATATCTATATGCCAACTTTATCTTCTTTATGCACATTTCCTTCAAGGTGAGTTTGACTTATTTCTACTTTTACATGTTAAATCACAGAATTAACGCTCATACAATACAATGTAAAGCAAAGTGTAGAATAAATAAACAGCTCACCCGAGATTTACTCATTTTTTCTTGCTTCTGGAAATGCAGAGAGCACTCTGGCAGCATAACTGAGAGAGAAGGCAGAAGGACTGGATTAAGGTGAGAAATGGTGTGGGTTGGCCCTAGATTCTCCAACCCCAAAGTCTCTACACATGAGCTGGAAAAGACAACACAACCAAATCCTCTTTGTGACAGAAAATGGGGCAACAAAGACTCCATTACAGTTGCATCTACAAATACATTAATTGGTAGAGACCAGACATATATTTTAAGTTTAATGAAAATATATATTACCTACTGATTTAGCAACAATTAATGCTTCCTAAAGATATAATTTTATTTATATATGTGTGTGTATATATATATATATATTTATTTATTTATTACATATATATGTGTGTATATTTGTGTGTGTATAGATTTTTGCCAACGCATGTGTATGCTCACCAGAAAGTGAAGAATCACCCTTTCTCCCCTTCCCCGGAGGTGGATGGCCATACCACAATCTCTTCTCCTCCATTGTCCTCTCAGGATTTTTGGCATGAATATACATGTGCCCAGCATGATCTTCAAGCTGCTGGGTCCGGGTCTTAAACTGTGGTAGGTAGGCCATGTGGAAATCTAGCACTTTAACCACCATGCTACCTGCTGGTCCAAATTTAATCATGTAAGCCAAAGGGAAAAAATTGTGGCCTTCACTGAAATTCAAGTTACAGAAATACACTATGGCTTTATAAACTGTCTTTCTGATATAGAAATTCCACACAGGATTCCATTTGAGTGTTTCCACTACAATGAAGCTCAACTTTATATACTTAAATCTCAAAGAAGTATGCATGTTGGAACTCAACATTTTTTGCCTCCAAGCATGTAGGAAAAAAAGGTACGTAATGTATATTCCTTGTGGTACACTATTCCAATAATATTTCCTGGTGATAGTTTCCCTGGGTCCAAACCCGCATACAGCATACTCTGAAAAGGAACTGGTCTTTGTCATTTGACTTGCTTTGGCTGAAGGCACATAATGAAATGCGATGCAAACGTAGGTTTAAAAAGTACTTGCCTACCTGTGCTGACCATCTTGGACACAGTCATATTGTGAAGAAGCCTGGGGCTACCTTGTTAAGAGAATCAGGGCCTACCCAGGAGCCAGCATCATGCACTGGACTCATGAATGAAGCCATCTTGAACCAACTAGCCTCAGTCAAGGAATCAGGCCACTAACGCCTATCTGTGATCCAGGCAACACCAGCACAGGACCCGCTCACCTGAACCCACCTCAAAATGCAGATCCACAAAACTTCAAACAAATAAAACAAATAATGATTTTTTTTTTGAGTCAATACATTTTGGTTGATTCCTTACACATAAATAGTAACTGATATATTTAAGCCTGCAGAACTTGGTTATGTTTTTAATAATATTATGTGGGAGAGAAAGTCTTAAATTATATGTCAAATGCAATTAGTAGGGTTTCACACTGACATTTTCTTTTGTAGAATTCTTTTATTTAACTTTATTTATTTATTTATTTATTTTTATTTGATCAGAGAGGGACAGAGTGAGAGAGAAAGGGAAAGTGATAAAGCAAGCTGCCAGGTCCAAGACTCAAACCGCGGTTGGTCTTGGAAGAGTCCAGCACCCTTAACTACCATGCCACCTTCTGGCCCCAACACATAGATGTTGTCAAAACCACAGTAATATCAACTGGATGAATTTCAGGGAGGTAGCTGGCATTAGGAGAGGCCATGTGAATCACAATAAACAACTGTATGCATATGAGTAAACTAAAATTTTTTCTTACATCATAAAAGTCTAGATACTTGCAAAAATATAAGCCATAAAAGGGCCTGTTCCGTATAAGTGGCCATTGTACTGTACTTCATTTACATGGTAAAAAATTGGTTTGGAGTATAAGTGTAAGGTGATCTACTTTTCCCATTTTAAATAATTAAAATAGGTTTCTATTGAGTTCTTACACAATTTATTATTTTCAGGAACAGATTACTAACATTAAGTGGGAAATACTTGGGTTATTTACCCTTCTAGGTTATATAAGATACAGAAAGTGTTGGAATATAAATGATACAAATGTTTAAGGCAAGATATTTTAAAGCTATGTTTGTTATAAGTTGACTTCAATGTTACAAAAATAATCTCAAAAGTAAATGAATACTTTTGTTGACTTAGGTGTGGCAAAATGGAGAACACTAGATAAAAAGCCAGGAAATCTAACATCTACAGATCATGTGCCTCCACAAGTTAAATCTCCTCAAATTCATTTTTTTCCCATTTCTTTTATTAGGTAGACATAGCTTGACCAACACTTACTGAACTACCAGGAAAAACTGTCAGGATAGAGGGAACATCAGCATATCTCCAGATGCTGAATTCGATGACAGGCTAGGTGTAAGAGAGTTCAGACACTGGAGACAATGTGGGAAGACTGAAGTAATGGGAGTGTGTTTAGAGAGCACTGTAGACACAATCTCTCAGGTATGACAGGTTACTTCCCACCCCCAACCACACCTTCAGGACCCCTCCGATAAGTAACCTTTCCTAGGCCCTTGCCTATCCTTTTCAGCCCAACTCACCTTTCCCTTCTAAAAGGTGGCCCAAACCTTCCAATATCACCCAGTATTTGACACCTACTAGATAAACTATCATCAAGTAAATCTCGTGTATTCTAAGCAAAAGCAATAATTGCTTGGGCCAAGCAAAGCTAGATCTTTACCTTCCTGCGGCTCTTGTCTCTATTTTGAAGCACTAGTGAGGAAAGTCACAGGGTGGGTGCTCTTTCAGGTGGGATTCCTATTCATAGGGTATCTTTTTCTTTTTTTAAGAATTATTCATTTTAATTTTATTCATTCATTTATTTTTATTTGACCAGAGAGCCAGAGGGAATGAGAAGTCTGGGACTTGAACCATGGTTGGCCATGTTGGAGTGTCCACTGCCTTAACCACCACACCACCTGCTGGTCCCTAGGGTATCTTTCTTTTTCTTCTTCTTCTTTTTAAGAATTATTTTATTGAACTTTAATTAATGAATTAACTAATTTAATTTGACCAAGGAAGGATAGAGAGAGACAAGGAAAGTGAGAAAGCGAGCCACCAGCTCCAGCACTGGAACAGTAGTCAGTCATGTGGGAGTTCAGCGCCCTTTAACCACCAGGCTACCTGCCGGCCCCAGGGCTTCCTTCTTAAACTGAGTAACAACTACTTTATTCCAAAGAAAATAGGACCATCATACAATACCCCAATCTCCCTCAGGACTCACTGTCCCTGGAACTTAGGTCTTCTAGAATTTCTGGGAAACCAAAACAGAAGTGCCAGGCAGGCTACCCAATGCAAGAGACCACCAAAAACTTTACCTGTTGAAGAGATACCAAGCCACTCCTCAAATAGAACTGCCGTAGTAAGACTCAGTCTGCACACACTTCACGATTATTTCTCTGGGACCCTGGGGGCATTTCACTCTAACATGTAATATGGTAATAGCCTCATGTTACAGGTGAGTCAAGATGAAGGCACGAGGGTTCATTCATTTTCCACAGATTCTTCTGCTGCAGCAGAGCTAGAAAATGAACTCGCCACCTCCCAGGCTCACGCTGTCTGCAGACCTTCCCAGTCCCTCCCGTGTTCCATTTCCACCTGGACTTGGCCATCCCCGGAGTTTCTGGAACCACCTTGTACATCGAAAGGCATACACCTGCCTTCCGACAAAGCCGTCGCGGACAGCACAGCCCACGCCGCCCCTTCCCATCCCGGGAACTGCAGATCCCTCCCCAGCCCACCTTGGATCTTGGCAGCACATGCGCATTATGCCCCGCGCGCCTGACAATCACCTTCATCTCTGCCCTAAGTGGGAGGGTAGCCTAACTAGTCCCGGAGGCTCCCAGAGAACCACGAGGTTCCTTTTCTACACTTGCACCCACCTTTAGGGACACCGAATTCAACCCCAGAGCCAGGGAAGCAGGTGGGGACCAAACAGCCGCAGGGGCCGGAATTTGACGGCAGTGGGCGGAGCTACATATGCGCAGAACGAGACATTCCCATAGTCCTGTGCGGGTCCCAGGCCGAAACCGGGAGACTACATTTCCCACAAGTCTCTGCGGCGCGGTCCTCCATTAGGAACCGACACAGAAAGTTAGGTTTGCTTTCAAGTTTATTCGTTTAGATCCTAACAAACGTGTGTGTGTGTGTGTGTGTGTGTGTGTGTGTGTGTGTGTGTGTGTGTGTGTGTGTGTGTGTGTGTGTGTTCGTTTAGATCCTAACAAACTTGTGTGTGTTGGGGGAAAACAGGTACCCCCAACAATGTCTTCAAGATCCACCCCAAAACTTCCATCATCTCAGATCGTGGCCTGGGGAGTACACGGAGGGATTGGGAGGTACCCTGACATTTCCCTGCCGGTCCAGTTGCCTTTACCGCGCAGCGACAGCTGAACCGACGTCCCATCAAAGTTTTATTTGCCAGCAGTTGGTCCTGTTGCCAGGGGGCCAGGACCGGGTGGATCACGACTGATTTCTCTTCACGTGACAGAAATGAACAATTCTGATTCTTTATGAAGTCCTGGTTTGACATCCTGGAACATAGTGAGACAAAATGGGGAAATGAATGGGGATATTAGAATACGGCCAATTAGTGGATAACATTAATAAGTAACTTTTTCTTAGTTACAGTGTAGGCGTGGCTGTGACAGGACTCAAGTCTATTTGTTACAGGTACTGTCTAATGCGTGAGAAGATCCCGTCTCTGTTTTGCTTTAGATTTGTTAACAAACAAGAAACTAAGCTGATAGATAACTCTCTTCTAGCCTATGAAAAGATGATTGTTCTCACTAAATACACTAATTTTGGAGCCCCCACTGGATTATATAACACAAGTGGAAAAACTGCTGTAAGGAACATACTGGAATAAAATAGGAGGGTGATAGGGTAGGTGCCCTACAAAACTCTTGTGCCAATTTACACTTCCACTGTCTGATAATTATTTGCCCAAGTTCCATCAATCCATCTAACTACCGAATCTTTATTTACTTTTTTTTTTTTTTTTCCATTTTGGTGATTTTGGGGTGTGTGTGTGTGTATGTGTAGTGGATCTGCACTTTTCTTTTAACCTTGCCTTCCCTTGTTTCTGCCACAAGCTAGCCCAGGAGTCCTACACAGGCGTTTCTTAATAAGCCTGCTGCCACCCTCTTTAAGAAGGGAAATGCCTCACCTGAGTGATGA